AAAGACTACCATAAATGCCCTTCCCTGATAATGAGACTGATGACTAACTTATCCACCATCATGAAGGCCTCATCTAGTACCTATTGGAAACAGAAGCAAACACCCACAATTAAACTCTGAGCCAAACTAGAACCCAGATGCAGAGACAGAAACACATAGAGACAGCTGACCTGAACAAGGAGGAGCTAATGGGCTCCCAGACTGATAGCTGGGAATCCAGCATGGGACTGACTCAGTCCGCCTGTATATGGGTCTCAGCCAGAAGGCCTGAGCAGTCTAAGGGACCTCAGACAGTGGAACCAGGATATATTCCTGGTGCACAAAAGGACCTTGTGGGTACATCCCCTATGGAGGGATACACACTTTACCTAGAGTCAGGAGAGAATTTCTAGTCCCTACTTCAAATGACTTGACAGATTTAGATGACCCCTCCTGGATGGCATCACCCTACATGTGCAGTGTGGAGGGGGTTGGAGGGCAGGGTGGTCGGGGTGCATGTGAGGCGGGCAGAGAGGGAAATACGGAAGGAGTGGGAACTGGCATCGATATGTAAAATAAAAAAATAAAAAAATAAAAAAAGGAAAAAGAAAGAAAAAAACTGAAATTAAAATAATTCTATAGTCATTGAAACTACATAATATAGTGTAAAACACTCAATGACCTATCACGAGAGTTCCCATGGGTTAGAATTCTGACTCACTATAGAGAATCCGCAGTGTATTGGGAGGAAGGTGGGTGCCAGGCCCACCACAGACAATTCAGAGAGTGCATAGTAAAAGTTTGGGTCCCTAGGCAACATGCAGACACCGCAGAGAGAATGCAGCAGAGTCAGGCCTGGTGCCCTCCTGTCTGGACTTTTCTGTCTCTGGTGTCCACATAGTACCTTGTAAAACCTGCATGGTAAAACCAAAATGTTCCAGACCCAGGATGCTGTCCCCATTGTTTGGAATCTCCAGTTTGCCACCCATTCCAAACCCCACCCTCATGGTGCCAAGGTGGGGTTCTTTCCCTGGAGTTGCCTCATTCCAAACTATGATCCTGAGAAGAACAATGTCATGGGCTCCATCCCTGGAGGGCATTTAAAAGACCCTCCTCTTGGGTTTAATTCATACTTCTCTCCTGTTAACCTGGGGCCACCTGTGAAGGCTTTGCTCAGATTCATCCTGGATGTATTAATTTGGCCTGATCTGATTCATTATATCATCTCCCAAGGAGCCCAGCAACCCAGGACCCACTATTTATCACTGAAGTAGAGAAGAGGTTAAGGTTAAGGACCCAGACTGTGACCTAATTTCTCTTCTGGTGTTTAGGTCTGTGGTGAGCAGTCTATGGTCTTGAGAAGCAAAGTGTTCACAAGATGGCTAGGAAGCAAAAGCAAGAACAGAAAGAGCCAGGGTTCCTCATGGGCTTGAAGGATGTGCCCCAGTGAACTAAAAACTACTTCTAGGCAGCACTTCTTAAAGGGGCCACCTCCCTATGGCAGCAGGTGGGGAGCAAATCTTCACCTCCTGAGCCTTTGGAAGTCACTCCAAATCCAAAGTAAAACAGGGGAGGGAGCTGCTGAAAGGGTTAATCCTTGTCAAGACCATCCCACAGAGTTCTGGGGAACACTGGATTTGGTGTCTCATGTCATTGTTCAGCACCAAGTAAGAAAGAAGTTCTTTGCATGCTCAGGAACATGTACCAGAGTTGAGACAGGAGTCAGAGTCCTTTACTTTTGCATGAAGGGACTGTTTATTAAGTGGCTGATTACAACAAAGCCCATGTCCTTGAACTGTTCTTATTTGCCTTGTCAATCAAGGCAGAGGATCCTGAGCCTGCTGAGGGGACTACTGCTACTGTTCCCTTAATCATAAGGGTGGGGCTTCAGGGTGGCATGGAGAGATTCACAGGGGGTTTCGCATCTTCCTGGTCTTGGCCTGGCTTCAGTAGTGTTCAGTTTGTTGCCTGAAGGGGAGAGAAAGACAATAATTACCTTCTTTAAACCCAGAAGTTGCGTGCAAGCATGAGTATTGTCAATCCAGTCCCCCAGCAGATCACACAGCACTGCTTCAGGGATGGGGAGAGAACACCTGGAGTGAACACCCTGGAGAGCTTAGCCTGTGAGAGGAGGAATTTGCAGGTGAAGCCTCTGGCAGGAGGGGATCCATGCAGATGCAGTAGGGTCCACCCAGAGGCAGCAGCGCCCACTCTGTGCTCACAGGATGCTGAGTGTAGCCCCTGCTGACCCTGGCACAATGCTGGCTGTCAGTAGCTGTCAGTAACTACACTTCCTCTGTTACCACCAGAAGCTGCTGCAGGCTGTGTTTGTTGTCACTGTAGCAATATCTCAGATGTCATCCATCTGATCTGTTCTTGTGATCAAGGCTGGCTGGTGCAAGGTCCCCTGGCCCCTGAGCGGGTCAGTAGGAAGAATGAGAGCATGAAAAGCCACCCTGAGCAAATGCTGCCTTTCTGTCATTTGGACCCTCTAGGAATTGATTTGGGCCCAGATGCTGGAAAGAATGGGGTCAAGCATAGCTTATGGTTGAGTCCTAGGAAACAAGCTGATGTTTTCTGGGTCACATGTTATACTGATTGCTCAGGTAGATCAAGACTATATGCAAGGTCCTGTATCTGCCAAAGCAAAGCAAAGCAAAGAAAAGCAAAGCAAAGCAAACAAAGCTAAGCAAAGCAAAGCAAATAAAGCTAAGCTAAGCAAAGCACAGAAGCACAGAAAAGTGCTGTATTCTGTTTCTTACCTAATTCAGTGGATTGACATCGAAATTCAATAATGGACGTGAAGATTCTTCTACTGTAATTCTGACTGGTTGAGACAGTACTGAAATGAAGTACCACCATGTAATAGAGTTAAGCGAAATGATAACCTGGGTGCTTGTTTCACCAAAGTTACATGTGGGATCTGTGACCTGTATGTGGCCCTAACAGCAGTCTCTGCCACACACTTTCAATATGGTTTCATGGACTCTGTATACCCCAGCCTGCAGGATGTAGGCAAGACATGGTATAGAGGAAGAAAGTCTCCCAAAGCAGTAGGGAGTTGATGGTCTCTTATCATCGATGACAAATGGTACATTGCCTCACAATAGGAACTGACTGGAGGTGACACATACATTTGATGCTCAGAATACTATTTACAACCACAATAGAAGTAACCAGAAATGAGTATACCTGTCATGTAGCATCACCATCTTTGTTGCCCCAAGAGACTATGATATAACCTTCAAGTGTCATAACCCTAATGTCTAATGTGTGGTGACCCAGGTCCATTCTTCAGCTGCATCCTCTGGTGGTCTTGGTCGCAAGGCACTTGTGGACAAAACTTCCTGGCAGGTGCAGAGCAGGCACTTAGATCTGTTTACTCTATAGACCATGAGATGCTCTCATTTATGATAGAGAAGGTGATGTATAACTCAGCAGATGACAGGGTGGCCTTGTTCTTGGGTTTAGTGTCCTACACATGCCATTGCTTTCTTGCCTCTCATGGGGACTCAATATGCCTGCTGTGAGAATTATTAATACTACGTACTAAGGGCCATAGTGACGAGATTCAGGAATTGATCCATAATGGCTTCCAGCTCTTCCTTCTGCAAGACACAAGAGGACATTTTCAGTAGAGCCTTGTAGTCCTTCCCTCGTCCTCAAGGCCCAGATTAATTCAAGCTTCAGTTTCCTGTGGGATTTTTCTAGTTGACAGGCCTGTCACATGTCAAGCTTAAATGTAGAGATTGATCTCCATGTATCCTAATGGCTCCCATTTTTGGGGGATTTTGGGACCCCTATGATGTTTGTTGCCCATGTTGCTTCATTGGCAGAGATATTGGCTCATTTGCTGTCACCTTGCTACAGATACAGCAGGTGGCTGAGGGTCTTCAGGAGCTCCTTGGAGGCCAAAGCTGTGAGAACTGGCTATTGGTGGTCACTGCTGCCTGCTCTGACAAGGCTTGAGGATGTCTAGGTCTGGGATTCTCCATGTCAGGGTGCCCCCTTCTCTCTCTGTGACCCTTCTCTGAGAGCATATGGGTTTGCTTCTGTGCTTCTGCTAGCTTCTCACTGATCACCCTTCTCTGTGGGAAGTCAGACTTCTGAAGAACTGGGTTGGGGTGCTGCTGTATCAGTACCCCAGTGTGTGCACAGGATGGAGAATACTCCTTAAACTCTGCCCTGTAACATCCCGGGGACAGCTATTGGCATAAACCACTGCATGTCCGGTGTCTCTGTGAGGTCAGAGATCAGTCCTCGTCTTTTCACAGAGTCCACAGCAAGGAACAGCCTGTTGCTTCACTGCTAAATAGAGATGGGTGAGTGGTGAACTTGGAATATTTCCCGACTCTGCAGTTTTACTGCCTGTCCTTATCTTCAGCTGCTAAAGGGACACATTTTCTCCCACACCTATGGAACCCTCTGTACACCTCTCTCCATCATGCAACACCTTACTTTCAGTATGATCTTCCACCTTTGTGTGTGTTTGTATGTATGTGCTCCTTGCAGCCTCACAAGCAGATGCCAATGTGAGCACGGGCAGCTGTAATTAAAGAGCTCTTCAGAGAGGGGGGCAGGAGCCTGCAGTTTGTTCCACAGTAAGTGTGTGCTCTAGTGTCCATGGGCCTCTCTTTTTTCTACTCTAGAGCCACCGAGTGTCGGGTATTGATATGGTTTCCCACCTATCATGGGTCAATATAAAAAGGGTACATCAACTTACAGCCTCAGGGGGCTCCACTCTGTGGTCTGATCTGTCAGCAACAAAATACAGAGAAATGTTAGGTTCATGAGAACAGTACTACTGAAGCTTAAGTTCAACTCTTATCTCTATTGATTTGGGATGAGTCAGTTGTTGACTAGGGCCTACTGAGCAGAACAGACAAGTGACTAAGAGCATGTAAGCCACCACTCCCAATTCCCTATAGTTATTCAAATATTTGCACAGAACCCACCACTCCCATGTGTTTCACAGAGCCTTTACATGTTCAGGAGGACTGTGCAGTTACAGATTGCAGTACCTTATAAGTTTGATGTTTGTTTCCAGTTTAGTGTTTGAAATCTCGCAGTCATAGGCCATGATCAATTGCTGAAATGACACATGGAGCATGAGTGAAACATGGGACCATGGCCTTACCCTCTAATGTGGGGAGACCAAGGCATAATAAGGGGCCCCAGGCTTTTGGGATCAGTTCCTCCCATGCATCCAAGTTCATGACCTTCTTCCAACTCAGTGAACCTTTATTTCTCAGCACTCACTGTTTTCCAAGTGGCATAGTCCTCACTATCCTTAGTTACTGCAACCTCATAGGTAACTCTGGGGTTTTGGTCTTTCTGGAAGGCGTAGGTTATTTTGGTGATGTTGGCCTCCAGGTCATTCATCTGTTGTGAAGAAGACCTCAGTTAGTGAGGGGAAGAGGATGGGATATGCGTTATCATGAGGCAGACATGTGTGCCTGAGTCTTGCATGAGATGCTGTGCTTGGTCCTGTAGGCTTGGTCACCCAGCTGGAAGCTGGTGAGGCCAAGAAAAATTAATGACAGGGAGAATCCCACCCCTTTTCTGTGTTTACTACAGTGGATGGATGTTGAGGGAGAGATCTTGTGAAATGTTGCTTTCTGTCAAGGATTTCAAAGTAGAAGTGTGCTTCTCTGCCTTTGTGCTCTGGAAGCTCTCTGCTGAACACTTATGGAGTCAGTGGTAAAGATTCCTGTATGCTGCTACACAAGATGATGGCGCCTAGAGCCTGGGAGCTCCTTTCACTGTGGAGACCTCCTCCTATCTTCAACGTGGGGAGGTCATATTAAAGTACCTCCTGGGTAGATAAGCCTGGATCCCTTGCTGCTACTGTGACTTTTCCATTCACTCAATCTCTGAGGGCATCAGTAAACTGAAGAAGAGTTCTTATGTTGTGCTGTATTTTGAGCATTATTTGCCATTGATCATTTAAGGACAAATGGATGTGTGTTTGTCTATGGATGACACACTCATTATTTTTACCCCCTCCAACCCATTTGCTTGCCACACTGATGATATCAAGGCTCGTTCCTGATCTCTAAAGATGATGTATGTCCTGGGGCTTTGGTCTTACCCATGTCTTCAAGGACCTTCAGATGCTGCAGGTAATTGTGGTACACACTTTAATCCTAGCAAATGGGTGGCAGAGGTAGGCGGATCTCTTGATTTCAAGGCCAGCCTGGTATACAGTGCTAGTTCCGGGACAGCTAGAGTTAACCAAAAAACCTTGTCTCGAAAAGCAAAGTAAAGCAAAACAAAATAAAAACATCCAAACCTTAATATCTCATTCATATTTCCACCATCTGTCTCAAAAGTGACAGTCTCAGCTGATGTTCAATGTAGTGCCTGGGATTGATGGCAGACACTCACCTTGACAGAGACATGCTTGGCCACATCTGTTAACAGTATCTTCAACATTGAGTTGGACATTGTTATAGAAATGGTGGCATTTTTGGGATCTGGAGGCAGCCAACCTCCAGGCACTGGCACTGTTTCTTTGTCCAAAGTGGCTTCAACCTAAGGAGAGGAAAATAGAAAACTATGTTGTTCAGGAGACAGACCTGTGTCACAGTCTAGGGTGAAGTTGCCTAGTTCCAGTGGCACTGTTGCAGGGCTCTGGGCAGTCAGGTCATGAATCCTCGCCTGAAGATGAGAGAGCCATTTATGATGGACATCATGAATGTGTGTGTATGTGTGTGTGTGTATGTGAGTGTATGTGTGTGTGAGTGTGTGTGTGTATGTGAGTGTGTATATGTGAGTGTATGTGTGTGTGAGTGTGTGAGTGTGTGTGTATATGTGAGTGTGTGTGTATGTGTGTGTGAGTGTGTGAGTGTGTGTGTATATGTGAGTGTGTGTGTGTATGTGAGTGTGAGTGTGTGAGTGTGTGTGTATGTGAGTGTGTGTATGTGTGTGTATGTGAGTGTATGTGTGTGTGAGTGTGTGTGTGAGTGTGTATGTGAGTGTGTGTGTATGTGAGTGTGTGTATGTGTGTGTGAGTGTGTGAGTGTGTGTATGTGAGTGTGTGTATGTGAGTGTATGTGTGAGTGTGAGTGTGTGTGTGAGTGTGTGTATGTGAGTGTGTGTGTATGTGAGTGTGTATGTGAGTATGTGTGTGTGTGAGTGTGTGTGTGTATGTGAGTGTGTGTGTATGTGAGTGTGTGTATGTGAGTGTGTATGTGAGTGTGTGTGTGTGTGTGTTTAATAGTCGCATCCTCTCCTTGTCAGAGTTTCCATAACTAAGGATCAGTCTCCCTCACTGATTGCTCCTTCCTTTCTTTCCTCCTCACTTCTCTCCCTCCTATGTTTCTAACATAGGGAGGAATAAGTTCTTATTAATTAGGGCTAATCTTGGGTATTTCCACTGTCTGTATGTCTCCTTATTTTTTCTATGCAGTCTCCCGCCATCTCTCTGAACTATATTGTTTTTGCAGTGGATGTTGGAACATCCAGTGAGGAACACAGAGAAGAGAGACATATGTAGACTTCACTGGGGTTTCCTCCTGTCCTATGTATAACTCCTTATTTTTTCTTGACTTTAGTGTGACTAATAGTATCTGGAAAGCATGGCTATGTAGTTCCACATGTGATGTGTGTAGAAGGATCTGATCATAGTCCTTTGTGTATGTTGTAAGTTGTTGATGACTGTCATCCCAGATGTGCATGGTTTCTGCTTCAGCCTCTGAGTGCGGTTTTTTTTTTTTTGCTGCATTTCCAGAGGGAAAGCTGAGCTAGTCATGTCCCCTCTCATCATAACTTATTACACCCTGGTTTTGCCTTTCTGGTTGGGGAGTCGGTGGTTGGCAGGAGCTGGCCCTTTTTGTTTTGATGTGAATACTCTACTGAGACTGCAGACCTCAGCTGGGCCAAGTTATGATTTTGTCAGTTGGAGTGCCTCACAGGTCGTCATCCTGTGCATTTGAGTGGAGAGGAGCATTAGGCTGACCAAGTCCTGATGGACACTCACGGGACTGATCCCAGTTCAAGATGAGGGGTTCAAAAAGATCTGATCATTTCTCTGTCCTGACATTTTAATCTCTTTTGTGTGCTTCCAAGTATGCTTTACAGTCTTCATCCAGTTGTTATTTCAAAGACAGTGACTACTTACACAGTAGAGGATGGAAAGTCCTTTGGGAGAAATCCTGGTATCTTGAACCTGGTACTTGAATAAGCTGCTGGCTGTTGAGGAGAGGAAGGGGAAGAACAGAGAGAGCCCACACTGCCACTGATGGCTGTTGCATCCCAAACTGTACTCGTGTTCTCCCCCTACACACCAGTACGGGCAGCTGCATCTGTCTGCCTGCCAGACACAAGATGTTGCTGTGAACATCTTCCATATCTCATAGGATGCTCTGAGTTTTGGGTTGACCGACAAGAATTTTTTTTTTTACCTGATGTGTCACAATCTGTTTGGAAAGGGAAACACTGACTATGTAGACCATGTATTTTTTTATACTGTGGGACTTGAGTAATATGCCCAATTTCCTACTTCACCTCCCTGGGTTGTTCAGCCCAATATTTCCTCCCACCTTGGCCGTTGGCATGTTTACTGGGATATTGTAAAATGTCCTCATCTCAGAACCCCAAGACGATGTCCTTGGACTGCTCTTGATTCAGACTTTATGCAGTGTGTTTTTGAAAGCTTTTTGGTTTGGGAAGCTTTGTGCTGCCCCCACAGGCACTGTGTTCAAATCTTTTCCATGTTTATGAATTAAGTATCTTGAGGTAAAGGTCAGTTGGATCATTCTTCCTGCTTTGTTCGCCTAGTAGCTTGTGTGGGCCTTTGTAGTTTTGGAGTGTGGTATACTAGAGACTCTTGTTTTATGGTATATCACCCTATGAAATTCCCCATGGTCCGTGAGTCATTATAGTCCATTGACAAGAGAACAACAAGAAAGTACTCACCATTCTTGCAGTCAATAAAGTCCTTGAGAACAATGGCACAGGAGTTAGATTTCTCCAGCTGTGGAGTCACCACAGGTTAGCTTAGCTGAGTGAGTATCAGGAGCCTGTTTAATCTGCCTTCCTCCTCCCCTGCTCTCCTGGGCTTCCCCTTTCCTGTGCTATTTCCCTGGTCACTCTCATAGAAGTCATCCACTGTTTTTAAATCTCATATTTCTAGTCTGTAGTTAGAGATATGATCAAAAGAGCTGCTTGTCCATGGTGGTCCTTCTGCTTCTGAGGTTCCAGTCTTGATGTAAATTTGTCTTAGTAGCAAGGCATTTACAAAATGCAATTTTCTCCTCTAGTTCCCAGTGATTCAGGTCTGTGAGTGAGTCTCACCCATTCCCTGGACTTACATTCTTATTCATCTCTGCTGAGAGCTCTCTTGGGATGGAATCATTCAAGGGCAAAGACACAGGGAGAGGCATAGTAGTTCCTGTGACTCTGTGGAAGATACACATGTTGAAATAAGTGTTCATCGAGTCCTTTTCTACCACCAAATTCCCCAGGGAGACCTGGAGACAGACCTAGTCATACAACATCTGCAGCCATTGGAGCCTAGGCCCCACCTGCACTCATTGGGAGAGAGCCTTGGACCCACCAAGAGATGGATAGAACCTGCCTGTACCCACTGGAGGATATGATGGGAAGATGACATTATAAGAACACTTTCACATGCACCTTGATCCCCCCAAACTCCACATGTAGGGCTATGCCATCCAGGAAGGGTCATCTAAATCTGTCAAATCATTTGAAGTAGGGACTTGGACTTCTCTCCTGTCTCTAGGTTAAGGGAGTATCCCTCCTTGGGGGATGTGCCTGCAAGGTCCTTTTGTGCACCAGGAATATATCCTGGTTCTAGTGTCTGAGGTCCCTTAGACTGCTCAGGCCTTCTGGCTGAGACCCATGTTCAGGGGGTCTGAGTCAGTCCCATGCTGGATTCCCAGCTATCAGTCTGGGGGCCCATTAGCTCCTCCTTGTTCAGGTCAGCTGTCTCTATGTGTTTCTGCAGCGTGGTCTTGTCCTCCATCTCTGCATCTGGATTCTAGTTCAGCTCAGTGTTTAGTTGTGGGTGTTTGCTTCTGTTTCCAATAGGTATTAGATGAGGCCTCCATGATGGTGGATAGGTTAGTTGTTGATCCCATTATCAGAGAAGGGCATTAAGGGCATTTATGGTAGCCTTTCCACTGTTGCTCAAATTGTTAGTTGGAGTCAGTCTTGTAGGTCTCTGGACATTTCTTTAGGTTCAGTTTTCTCTTCAATCCTATAATGGTTCCCTCTTTTATGTGAGGGAGGAAGAGAGGCTAGGAGGGAGGGAGGGAGAGGAAACTAGGAAGGATATGTAAAATAAAAAAATAAATAAAAAATAATTATATAAAAAGAACACTTTCAACAAAAGATAGACTAATATGACACCACCAGACTCTAGAGAGTCTACACAGGCAAGACCTGAACATCCAAATAGAGATGTAGCAGAAGAGACCGACCTTAAAATCAACTTTATGATGAAGATAGAGACTCTCAAAGAGGAAATGAGAAAATCTCATAAAGAAATGGAAGAAAAGCCATACAAAAAATGGAAGAAATAGAGGAAAAGAGAAACCAAAATATGCAAGAAGTCAACTCATCTTTCAATGAATGCTTGGAACACAAAGAAAAACAATCAAACAGATGAAGGAAATAATTCAAACAGTTCAAGACCTGAAAACTGATATAGAGACAATAAAGAAAACACAAACTGAGGGAATGCTTGATATAGAAAATCTAGGTAAATGATCAGGAACTATAGATGGATGCATAACTAACAGAATAAAAAATATGGGAAAGAGAATCTCAGGTGCTGAAGATGTGCTAGGTAAAATAGATTCATTAACCAAAGAAAATCTCAAGTCCAACTCATCCTTAACACAAAATATCCAGAAACTATGGGACACCGTGAGAAGACCAAACCTGAGAATGAATGTGAAGAAGCCCAGTTGTAGGTGTAGAAAACATATTCAACAAAATCATAGAAGAAAACTTTTCTAACCTAAAGAAGGGCATGCCTATGAAAGTACAAGAAGCATAATGGGCCCCAAATAGACTGGAGCAAAAAGAAAAGTCTCCTTGCCACACAATAATCAAAACACCAAACATACAGAATGAATGAATATTAATGGTAGCCAAGGAAAACGGCCACGTAACACATAAAGGCAAACCCATCAGAATTACACCTGACTTCCATGGAAACTCTGAAAGCCTGAAGGTTCTGGATAGATATTCTACCAACACTAAGAGACCAAAAATGCCAGCCCAGACTATTTTACCCAACAAAGCTTTCAATCACTATAGATGGAGAAAACAAGATATTCCATGACAAAAACCAGATTTAAATAACACATGTCCACAAATTTATCCCTACAGAAAGTTCTGGAAGGAAAATTCTAACCCAAGGAAGTTAACTACACTGACATGAGCATAGGCAATAGATGATCCCACATTACCAAAAGCCAAATACAAAGAAAAGGAAATCCACACACAATACCAACACCAAAAATAAAAAGAAACAAGAATCAACAATCAGTGGTCATTAATATCCCTCAATATCAATGGTCTTAACTCACCTATAAAATGACACAGGCAACCAGAATGGATATGAAAACAGAATCCCTCCTTCTGCTGGCTGCATACAAGAAACACACCTCAATTTCAATGACAAATGTTACCTCAGAGTAAAGGATTGGGAAAAGATTTTCCAATTAATTGGATGCAAGAAAAAACTGTGTGTAGCAATTCTAATGTCTAATGAATTAGACTTTAAACTAAAATAAATCAAAAGACATGAGGAAGTTCATTTTTTATTCATCACAGGAAAAAATCCCATCAAGATGAAGTCTTAATTTTGAACATCTATGCCCCAAATGCAAAGGCATCCAAATTCGTAAAAAAAACATTATGAAAACTCAAATCAACATAAAACCTCACCCACTTATAGTGGGGGATTTCAACACCTCATTCTCAACACTAGATAGGACCTCCAGACATAAACTTAAAAAGAAACCAAGGAACTAAGAGAAACAAAGGAACTAACTAAACCAATTGGAGTTAACAGACATTTTATAATGTTCCCCCTTAACACAAAAGAATATACCTTCTTCTCAGCGCCACATGGTCTCTAAAATAGACCATATGCTTGGCAATAAGGCAAATCTCAATAGGCACAAAAACATTGCAATAACTACCTGTATCTGATCAGATCACCATGCTCTAAAGTTAGAATTCAACAACAACACAAATTTCAGAAATCCCACAGAGTCATGGAAATTGTACAATGTGTGATTGTCCATTCTTGAGTCAAGGAAGAAATAGAAAGAAATTAAAGATTTCTCAGAATTCAATGATGATGAAGACACAACATGACCCAAACATTTAAGACACTTTGAAAGCACTGCTTAGAGGAAAATTCATAGCACTAAGTGCCCAGATGAAGAAACTAGAGAATAGTCACACTAGAGAATTAACAGCACAACTAAAAGCTTAGAACAAAAAGAAGTAAAATCACCATGGAAAAGTAGATGCCAGGAAATAATCAAATTGAGGACTGAAATCAATAATGTAGAAATAGCAAAATAATACAATGAATCAAAGTAACAAAGAGTTGGTTCTTCTAGAAAATCACCAAGATAGACAACCCTCTATCAAAACTAACCAAAAAAGCAGAGAGAGAGAGAGAGAGAGAGAGAGAGAGAGAGAGAGAGAGAGAGAGAGAGAGAATGAAAATTAACAAAATCAGAAATGAAAAGGGGGTACATTACAATGGACACTGAGGAAATCCAGAAAGTCTACATGTCATACTTTAAAAACCTTAATGGAAATGAACAATGTTCTGGATAGATATAAATTACCAAAATTAAAACGAGACAACAAATGGGCTGAGAACGAAATCAAAGAAACATCACCCTTTATGATAGTCATAAACAATGTACATTATCTTGCACTATGCTAAGCAAACAAGTGAAAGAGCTATATAATAAGAACTTTGAGTCTTTAAAGAAAGAAATTAAGGAAGATACCAGAAAATGGAAAGACCTTCCATGCTATTGGATAGTTTAGGATCAACATAGTAAAAATGACAACCTTACCAAAAACTATATACAGATTCAATGCAATCCCCATCAAAATCCCAGCACAATTCTTCACAGACCTTGAAAGAACAATTCTAACTTTATATGGAAAAACAAAAGACTTAGGATAGCCATAACAACCCTGTACAATACAGGAACTTCTGGAGTCATCCGCATCCCTGACTTAGAGCTCTATCATACATTTATAGTCTTGAAAACAGCTTGGTATTGGCACAAAATAGACAAGTAGATGAATGGAATCGAATTGTAAAACCCTGATATTAACCCACACACCTAGAAACACCTGAAAATAATAAAAAAAAAAGAAAGAAAGCATCTTCAACAATGGCGCTGGCATAACTGGATGATGGTGTGTAGGAGACTGCAGATAGATCCATATCTATCACCATGCACAAAATTTAAGGCCAAATGGATCAAAGACCTCAACATAAATCCATCCACAGTGAACATCTTAGAAGAAAAAGTGGGAGGTACCCTTGAATGAATTGGTACAGGGAACTGCTTCCTGTACATAACATCAGTAGCACAGACACTGAGATAAGCAATTAATAAATGGTACCTCCTGAAACTGAGATGATTCTGTAAGGCAAAGACACAGTCAACAAGACAATACAGCAGCCCGCAGAATGGGAAAAGATCTTCACCAACCCCACATCTGACAGAGGGCTGATCTCCTAAATATGCAAAGAACTCAAGAAGCTAGTCACCAAAACACCAAATAATCCAAATAAAAAGTTGGATATAGAACTAAATAGAGAATTCTAAATAGAGGATTCTAGAATGGCTGAAAGACACTTAAGAAAGTGTCAACATCCTTAGACATCAGATAAATGCAAATCAAAACAACTGTTAGATTTCATATCATCTTACTCCTGTCAGAATGGCTAAAATAAAACCACCAATGACTGTTTATGCTAGAAAGGATGTGGAGAAAGGGGAACACTCCTCCACTGCTGGTGGGAGTGCACACTTGTAAAGCTACTTTCAAAATCAGTATGGCGGTTTCTCAGGAAAATGGGAATCAGTTTACCTCAAGATCCAGCAATTCTATTCTTCGACTCATACACAAAGGATGCACATTTGTACAACAAGGACATCTTTTCAAATATATTCATAGCAGCATTATTTGTAATAGCCAGAATCTAGATGCCCTTCAACTAAAGAATAGATAAATAAAATGTGGAAGCAGAAAAAAATTACAAAATCTTGAAATTCCAGGCAAATAGATGGAACTAGAAGAAACCAACCTTAGTGAGGAAACCCAGGCCTAGAAAGACAAATATGGTATGTATCACTCACATATGGATATTAGACACAGAACAAAGGATTACCTGCCTACAGTAAACTCTTCTAAGGAAGCTAAGAAACAAAGAGGACCCTAAGAGAGACATAGATGATCCCCCAAAGAAGGGGGAAGGGGCAAGAGCTCCTGAACAAATTTGGAGCACAGGAGAATGGGGAAGGGGGAAGGAAGTAAGAGAAAGAGGTGGAGAGGAGGGGAGAGGTGAACGTGAGTGATCAGGAAGACAGAGTCAGGGGATGAATAGAGGAGAACAAGAGAAGAGATACCTTAATAGAGAGAGCAATTATAGGTTAAAGAGAAATCTCACACCAGGGAAGGGTCCAGAGATCCACAAGGATGATCCAAGGTAAGAATCTAAGCAATACTGGAGAGGTACCTTAAATGCCATCCTAGAGTCTTTATCCAGTAGCTGACCAAATCAGAAGCAGAGATGCTAAGCACTGAGCCGAACTCCTGATTCCAGTCATAGAGAGATAGGAATGATGAGCAAAGCGACCAAGACCAGGATGGGAAAACCCACAGAAACAGATGACATGAACAAGTGGGAGCTCAGGAACCCCAGCCAGACAGCTGGGGAACCTGCATGGGACTGAACAAGTACCCTTGAACATAGGTGACAGGAGGCCTGGGCAGTCTACTGGACCTCCTGTTGTGGAACCTGTATTATTCGTAGTGAATGAATGGACTTTTGGAACCCATTCCCTCATGGAGTGATTCTCTCTCAGCCTAAATACATGGGGGAGGGCCTAGGCCCTGCCCTAAATGATGTGACAGACTTCCATGATCCCCTATAGAAGGCCTAACTCTCCCTGTAGAGGGGATGGGATGTGGTGGTGGGGTGCATGGGGAGATGGGAGGGAGAGGGAACTGGGATTAATATGTAAAATAAGATTGTTGCTAATTTAACTAAAGAAGAAATAAATGATTATTATGTTGCTGTATTTGTCAGTTTTTATTTTCATCAACTCACTGAAGAAAGAGTCAGGATGATGTTTGGTTTCTCAATGTGTGGGTAAGTCTTGAGTTCTTGCCTTGGTCCTGATCGTTAAGGAAGATGCAAAGATACCTGGCCTAAGCAAAGGCAACCTGGCCCTGAGGTCCCCTGGATGGATTCATCCTTCAGACACTGGAGCACAGTTGTCTTTGATCTTGGCATAGCAGTGGATCTGAATTCCAAGCTTGCTAAAGTCTAGCTAGAGAAATTAAAATATTCTCCTGCCTAGGGCATAGCAGATGGAAGGAAAGGATGTCAAGGCTGGTATGTGTGGGTGAGAAGCATCTCCATGCTCCTCGTGTGAACCAAGTCAGAGGGAGGCAGCTGGCACAGAGAGTGGCAGAGAGATTGTCACTTTCACTGTATGGCCTCATGGTTCTTTCTCCATTTTGACTCAGGTCAGTGCACTGTTTAGGGAAAATCCAAGATGAGTCATTTAAATAGAGTAAGAAGGAAAGATACAAGGTCATGTGAGAAGATTGTTCTTAAACACAGCAGAACATTGCTCGTCAGCTCTCCTGGCATTTCCTGATTGTCCTGTGTACTATGGTGGACCAGCAGTCCGCTGGGACAGCAGGAGGGCCACTGTGACACACATTTGGATTGCATTGATGCAGTAGAAAGGAGGAGGGGTTGTACTTACGTCTCAATTAACTGAATGTTAATTTCATTGACCTGGATGTGGGTGTCTTGGATGTCAAGGTTGACACACTGAGTGTTGTTGGAGGAAACAGCAATTTTCATTGTCACTTCCAGGATGGATTCAAATTGCAGTGCACTGACGACAGGTCCAAGTGCTCTGTGGAGAGGAATGTGAGGTGAATGAAATTCTGCCTGAGACCTGAGGCTCCAGGGCAGAGAAAGGTATTAAGGACTGTCCTCCCGATGTGGTGAAGGTCATCCTCTAGAGGGAAGAACTGTTTTCCAGTCCCTGTGCTCTAGGGCCTCAGTCCTATGCCAGAGAGTGAAGAGGGTGGTCATTTTAGGTAGTTAATGTTTGATGAATAATTGTCCTACCTAGCCTTAAGGAGGTGCCTGTTGTTGGCACAGGCTGCCAGTTTTAAGTTCACCTTCAAACCTAGCACTTAGACCTTCTTTGTTGTGGAAATACATGAGAGAAATGTAGCAGGGGAAAGGCAGGGTTTCTTAACACAAATTTATATATATATATATATATATATATATATATATATGTGTGTGTGTGTGTGTGTGTGTGTGTGTGTGTGTGTGTGTGTGTATGTGTGTGTGTCCTATGTGTGTGTGTGCGTTTGTGTATACATACAGACATGCATGTATAAAATATATTCATATGTATATATTAACATATTTCTGTATATGCAATTTTATTTCGGAGGCATGTTGCCCTCTGTAAGGAAGTCTTGCTGGGAATAGCTGATCTTCTTTTCTCTCTGTGTGTCCTTGTCCTTGGGCTGTAGGATAGGGGCCTGCATCCTCATCCCTGGTGACCCAGCAATCATCTGGAAACATGCTCACCCTTTTCCGCCTATGGTGGCAGTGACTGTGGAGTGGACGTGGATCTCATCAGCTGCCATGGTTATGTCCGTGCTGTCCACTGTTACTTCATCCACCTCTAATCTGCAGAGGGACAATACAGGCTCAGTTCTGCTTCCTGGAAACAGCCCAGCCCTCATGAGAAATACCTGTGGGGAAGGCGGCTCGCCACCTACTAAGCTCTGCTGCTCCTATGCCCCTGAACTGTGCTTCCCAACCAGATTTTTGAGCTCAAGACATCCTGGCAATACTTTACAGAGATTCCAGTGCGAGTAAGCATGTCTTCTGTGAAAGTGGCTGTCACTATGGTTGTTGTATGTTGAGTGTAAGTGTCCCAATGAACATCTTGTTCATCCAGAGACCCCGAGAATTGTCAAAGAAGCACTTACTCAAGCAAAAGCTCTTTGATGTTTATGTTTAGTAGATCTGAAATTGGATCTTCAAGGTCATTGGGGAGTATTTCATTCACCTTGGCCCTGAGAGCCTCTTTTATATTGTCTACATTTTCCACCATGTCATGCAGAGGCTACCTTATAGTGGATATCCCCTTTTCCTTCAGAAGGCCCTTCCCTGAGCCCTTGTCTCCGCTGAGGTATAGTGAGCTGTCCAGGTCACCACTGCCCCCTGGGAGTAGCTGGGTGAGCCCTCCAGTGGCCTTGGACCCTTAAGAGGGCTTTGAGGAATCCTCATTCCCTTCTTTGCCTTTGCCTAGGATCTAGGCCAAGATCACCTGTCCCTTACAGGAGGGAAGTGGGATCTAATTGTGAGAGCAGGTCAGAGTTGTCCAGTGTGGGTATTAGTATCCCAAGCACGCCTGCCATATTAAGGTCATCACACTTCACAATGTTCTCGATCTGTGGGGGCAGCTTGTTCATGAGATCTGAAAAAGATCAAGAGACAATCGTGTTTTGGTTTTCTATTCAGTTCATCCTAGCACTCTCCTCTCTGGAAGGCGACATCTTGAAATTTGGGGCACATGGCAACTCAGAATTCTGCCTTCCAGGTTCCTTGTGCTGCCCCTGCCCTAGTTAAGAATAGCCCTCTGTTGCTGGACAGATGGCTCAGAGTTCAAGAGCAGGGCCAGATTCTGAATTTGGTGTTTCCTTGTTCTGAAAACCAGGCTGAGGCAGTCTACACCAGCTTGGAGCCCAGCAAAGAGGATCCTTATGGTGTGACACAGTCTGTAGGTGGTAAGAATCCACCGGAGTCAGATATTTCCCTTGTCCAGGGTAATATCGGCCTATCCCCAACTTAAATTTGTCTGTATCATGTCAATGCAGGCTGAGGCCTTATCTGAGTCTGACTTCCAGGGTGCATATATATTTTCCTGAGGTCTTGTGTAGTCACACATTCTTGGTTTTATTACCCATAAATTTTACTTCCTCTTTTGTTTTTCAGTGCTGATGTACAGAGGGCTTGACTATGTCACCCTTTGCTCTAACTCTGAGCTGTTTTCAGTTCCCCAGTAGTTTCCCCGTCCCCATTTTAAAAATGTCAATTTGCTACCTTAGATCCAATCTCAGATCTCTTATGAAAACTTCTCCATCTCCCTGAGCTGTTGAATGAGCTGGATTCAGACCCTTGCTGTACCAGAACTTCTAGTCATGACCCAAGCCCCCTTCTCTGTCTAGGCACAAGGAGATGCCATCGGGTCATCAGGTTTGGAAACCACTCATGCAGAGAGTTGACTGAACCTGCTATGGGTCCGGAAATGTGCATGAAAGGTGTGGACAGGATCCAAGAAGATAATTGAAATGAGCCTTACTTACAGTCATGGAGTTTGCCACTGGAGAGGAAGTATCTGGCTGCAGGCGCACACTTGCCACCCTTGGAGGCAGCTGGATGCTTTTTGGAAGGTGAGCCTTGCTTGTTGGTGGAACCTTTGAGGTGTCGTGGTGCTGGCAGGTTAAGAGGAAGGGTGTTCATATTGGGCACAGCAACAGGGAGATTGCTCACCCCTGGAGGTGTTTCTACCAGGTCAAGTGTTCCTGCTTGGATGCTCAACGTGATGACCAAGGCCCGCAGAGCCCACATTGCTATGGCTGACACCTGCAGAAGAGAAATGGCTCACACATCACATTCACCATGGACCTAGAGCTGTCATGTAACTCTGTGCAGGTGACTCCCTGTCTCTCAGAAGTGCGTTTTTTTTCACTTTATTGACACCCTAGTTTGTCCTCTGTTCATGGGAACATGGTCTGATATATGCCTGTTAACATATTCTTATTACTGTTTCTACCATAGGCAATTGTACTGTCAGTATTGGCTGTAACATGTCAATGCGGGTGAGCCCTGACCTGAGGTCTGACTTCCTGGGTTCATTTGTATTCTCCTTCTATTTTGTGTAGTCACACATCTGTGTTATTATCCCACAAGTAGATTTCACCCCCTCTTGTGTTTCTCAGTGCTGATATTGTACTCAAGGCTTGACCATGTTACCCCATTGCTCTAAAACTGAGCTACCTCCTTGAGCCCATGGTAGTTTCCCAGTTCCCATTTTAGACATGTCCTTAATTCAAATCTCAGGGACCTCCCTCTAATATCTACTTTGTCAGTAGTTGGTACTGGACTTATCTAGAGACATCTTATAGAACTGTCTCTGCAAAACTAGATATCAGTTTCCATAATATACCTCATACATGTTGGATCTGAGCTGTGGTGTTTGTCTAAAACTTTAAAAGTCCAGGCACTAAAATTTTCATTCAGGGTTCAAATAAAAGGGACTAAAAACAAGCGAGGGAACTAAAATCTGAGAAAAAAAGAATGGACTCACCCACAATTGCTCCTCTTCTTGTTCTTTATTCCTTTTTTTCTCTCCTGCTTTTCTGTGTCTCTGTTGCTGTCTATCTCTGCATTTGTCTCTCCAATTCTTGTCTTCTTCTCCCTAACTCTCTTTTCTGTTTCTTTTGTCTCTTATGTTCTTTTCTTCACCCAATTCTTGGGGGTTCAGGTATATATACATTTCCAACAGTAATTATTTTTATAACAATGAAAGGCATATGTTTCTCGGGGTCAGCAAGACAGATAAGATTTACACAAGAAACAATAAGCTAAAATTGCTAGGACAATCTTTTACCTTCAATTAGTTAGGGCTGTAGGTCAAAGAAGGGTCAAAATTTGATTTGCACAGGAAATTAAACCTGGTGCCTTCCAGTGCTCAGGCCACAGGACTTCAGGAAAGTTTGCTTTCCCTGAGCATGAGCAAATGGGCTATTACCTATGTTACTTTATGTTCTCAGTGGAAACAGGAGGGGGCAGTAAATGTCTGAGCTAAAATCTTGAGTTAATACAAGAAGTTTGATAATCTGTTAGTGCAGGGTTAGTTTAGGTTATCACTTTCTTTGTCTGCCAGTGATGTAAATCCAAGGGCGTGCTTATATTTTCTATCCATCTAGGCTATGAATCAACAACTTTGGACATGTAGTAATTCTGTGTCCTTGGGTATTTAGGAATGTCTCCGATGAAATGTTTTTGCCTTGACTCTAACACTGACCAAATGCCTGTCAATAAAGATAATTTCAGGAAGGCAGATCTCCGCAGTTTCAGTGGAGAGGGGAACAAGGACCTAATAGTGGGAAAGAGACCTCACACATAGCTGACGAATATAATCAGTAAACTAGGCCTTGCGCATGGAGAACATTTATTTACATATAGATAGGGAATGTCATCAGGAAAACTGCGAATGCATGAGGGAATTTTCTTTCCCAGTAAATGATCAGATGGTGTGAACTGTGGGAAGTGAATCCCAAGTTTGTTATAGAAAGGAGTAAGCTACATGAAGAATCTACATCATGACACAGTCAATTCATTCACGAGAGTATAATGCCAGGTACAGCTGTGTACTGGTTTCATCCATGACAAGAATCCCTAATTCTAAGATATTCATGATACAAAGGCTGTGTGATCTTGGGGCTTGTAGAAGCTGTTGACATCTGAAGATCATTTTCCATCTCACCTTCTCAGATTTCTTGCTTATGCTTATTCTCTAGGTATTTTGTCTCTGATGTTTATCTTGATGTATTAGTTTATTTATTTTTGAGACAGGGTCTTATTCTTAGTCCTGACTTTCCTGAAATTTGCTTTCTAGTTCAGGCTGGCCTTAAAATCTCAGAGAAGTGTTGCCTCTGTCCCTCCAGTGTTGGTATTAAATTTGTACACCACCATGCCTGGGCTGTCTTCAAATCTTTGAGTTCCATTTATTTATTTATTTATTTATTTATTTATTTATTTATTTATTTATTTATTTATTGCTTTCCATTGGGGGTTATTTGTGTTGTAAGTCACATGTGTAAAACACAGGACAACTTGATGGAGTTATTCCTTCCTTCGGTCGTGTGGTTCTAGGGATGACACTGAAGTCATCAGGCTTGGTGGCATACCTTTACCAGCTGAGTGATTTCACTGTCCCACGGTAACATGTAGAACGGTGCTGCACATGTGTTCCTGACATTTCCCCCTAACATATGAGTTGCCCTGTTGGCATTTCTTCCCTCTTGTCCTCCTTCACCTGTCAGGGTTTGTAAAATTGGTGTGTGGGTTTTTGCTGTGACATTTAAAAAAGTTGTCATGTTGTCTATTTTGTCAAATCCTCATCCCACAGTAAGTAAGTGCAATTTTTTTTATATTACTAGGGGATCCTGTGCATGTGTTCCTGATAGTAGGGACCATTTCTCAATACTTCAGCTATAACCTCTACTTTAGAGACACACTACTGCAGCCTCACCCCTCAGAGGTTCATGTGATATGCCTGCCCAGCAAGCGCTTCCTCCACCTGTGACTGCTACCACTTTAGTAATTACTTGATATTGTTTTAGAATCTCATCTGTAACCCCTCCCCTCTCTGCCTTTAAATCTTTCCATGTTGTCCTTTCTGCATACTCCCATAGTCTACAGTAGCTGAGTGTTCCCAGAGCTGAGCTAGGCTATGTGTGTACATTTGGTGATTCTTAGAGGCTAATGGTGATGCTTTAGGTTGGCACCATATATACATTAGAAGGTAAACCCTGTGCTGTAATTACCATCAGTAAGTGGTTTTAGTGAATTGAAGCCAGTGACAAATCCTTGCCTCGAACAAATTGCCTTATTGAAAAGTAAATCTCACCACATTTCCACCAGACTTTTCCTTTTCCTCTCTGACCTCTAGGATATCTAAACAGCATGTCATTCATCTAAACACTCTCTCAGGAAAAGCAAGGTATGTGCTCCTGTTAAGGACTTCATGGCTATGCTTACTTGGTGGACATCTCAAGAGTTCCTGAAATCACTTTCCTGTTTTCTCAAGAAAACAGTCTCCCAGTTAGTTTTGTTCTTGACCGTTTGACTTTAGGCCCAGTTTCCTGTAGAAACATTCTAGATCATCAGTAAACAAGCCCTAGTCATCTGTCCAGAGGTGACTTGTCCCATGGTCCTTCCCACCTACTTAGTGCATCATTCTGGTCAGTACTTACCTTGCCACTCTGAAGGGTCAAATTCTTCAGAAGCTGCTTCTACTCCTGCTCCTGCCTCTGAGTCTTTGCCCCCAAAGTTGCACCCCATTTTATAGGAATTCAGTCTCTCTTAGAAAGGTCATCATGTAGGAAGAGGCAGGATCTAGATGTGCTGATATGACAGATGTAATGCAGTCTGCTTTCCCAAATCAGCAGCTGCTCTTTGTTCTTGCTTTTGTTGGCAGCTCTTTAGGTGTGTGAGAGCTGGTCTTGGGATGTTGAGGCAGGCACATCACAAAGAGAGTGTAATGTCCCTGGGCCCCTGGCCGTTCTTCTGTTCTATATTCAAAGTTGGGTTGTGGTGAAGTGAAGGAATTGTTTTTGTCAATTTTTTTCATGGCATTTATTGTAAGGTGGTTTACCTGTCTCCTTCTCATTTTACAAGCTTTATGTCTTGTTGTCTAGTAGTCATTAGGGTTTGAGTGACTCCGAGCAGCATTTAGCTGGATAGATGCCCATGGCAGACAGCAGTCCTTTTATGATGCCCATAATGTCCTATGAAAAACTCAGCACCCAATGATCAGCAGAAGTGCAGGCATCCATGATACAGGTATGGTGTTCCCTTGATCATTAATTTTGGTGATGGCCTTATGTGAAATACTTTGTGTCATGTATGACTGACACGAAGCATCCTGCCATATGAAAAACCTCCTCATGAGTGTTTGCAGGGATGGAGAGTTCTAGTGATAAAGTGAACTGATTGGAGCATGGCAGTTGTCAAGTGTGTTCACCAGAGGTTTTATATAATTGTGTAGGAGCCCTATTATATCTTTTTTGTTGTGCAATTATAAAGGCCTGGCAGGAATATGGATATTATGTGTACATTTGTATTTTCAGTTACACTTATTTATTCTTTGAAATGTTTAACATTTATACAATGTGTTTTTTTATTATTTTATTTTATATAACAAAGTCCAATTAAATGAAAACAAACATTTATACACAATATTTGGGAATTTGGGCATTGTTCTTTCCAAATTACTTCCTGCTGGTAAGGGGCGCTGTCATGGGGGATTCGAAGAAGATTCAGAAATCCTGGCTGTAGTCTGTAGGGCAGCTTTGTCCAGCTGTTTTGAATGTAGGATTACCTTATACTCTGTTTCAGGCGGTCTGGCATGATCAAACCACATTAGTCTGGAAGGAATCCACATCTTTTCATTTTCTGTGGAAACAAAAATAGAAATCCTTTTCCCCAGTAACTTGTCCTTCAACTTAAATTTTGGAGTCAAAGCATTTTTTTTTAAATTTAATTTATTATTTTACATGTCGATCCCAGTTCCCTCTCCTTCCCTCCCTTTTACCCTCTCTGCCCTCTCACATGCACTCTAACCACCCTCCCCTCCCATCCCTCCCACCCTAATCCATATGTAGGGGAATGCCATCCAGTTGGGGTCATGTAGATCTGACAGGTCATGTGAAGTACGGACTAGGGCTTCTCTCCTGTCTCTAGATTAAGGCAGTTATCCCTCCATGGGGGATATGTTCGCAAAGTCCTTTTGTGCACCAGGGATACATCCTGGCTCCACTGTCTGAGGTCTCTTAGACTGTTCAGTCATTCTGGCT